CTCCCCCCCCCCCCCCCCCACAATTTCTCTTCTTTTCCGTCACACTTCCCACCCATAACCCTAAACTTTCTTCTTGAACAAAATCACCCACCACATTTTTCTAATCACCCGTCATATACTCTTTTTCTTCTTCAACCCACTCCCCTCTTTGCAACAAATCAAATCCCGCGCTTAATTTCTTTTTTTTTCAGCCCGATTTTTCTAATTTTTTAGTGTTTTATTTTAAAAGTTGAAATTATTGTTTGTGTCGGATTTAAAGAGAATGTATGATTTTGATTAACGTAAAGGGTGATGGTGGTATTGAATATGTTGAAAACTCCGTTGAAAAGCTTGAGAGAACTAGAAGAGCAACAAATGGGTCTTATGAATTTGTGAAATTAATTCAAATTTGTGATTGTGGCTCGTAGGATATGTGTTTATGAACTTCTAGTTTAAATTTCAAGTCAAAAAATGAAGAATTAAAATCCAACGAGCTCCCTTCACAAATTTGAATTAATTTCACAAATTCATAAAACCCATTTGTTATTCGTCAAGCTTATCAATGGAGTTTTCAATACCCACCATCACCCTTTACGTTAATGCATATCATACCTCCTTTTTGAATCTAACTAACACAAACAATAGTTTCAACTTTTAAAATAAAAAACACTGAGAATTTAAAAAAACGGGGATGAAAAAAGAAATTAATGACGGGTTTTGATTTGTTGCAAAGAGGAGAGTGAGTTGAAGAAGAAAAAAAGAGTGTATGACCGATGATTTCGAAGAAAAAAAATGGGTGTGGTGGTTGATTTTGTAAGAGAAGAAAGTTTAAGGTCAATGGTGGGAAGAGTGTTGGAGAAGGAGAAATTGGGGTGAGGCAGGCAGGCAGGCAGGAGTGGCGTGGGGAGGGAGAGGGTTAATAAAGAAATAAGTTTTTTCATTAAAAAAATAATATTTTTAAATAAAATATAGTGTATTTACGCGCTTGGAAGCAAGTGTATTCACACATTTTTCCAACTCAACAATATTTATGTCACATAAATTTGGTCAATGGTTAAAGGAGTTTCAAATATTGTGTTTTAATAAGTTTAAGGGTCCAGTTGATGAAGTATAGAGTAAAATAGTTCACAATACAAACTCATATGAGTACAAAAGTCTATCAAATCGTTTCGCCTTTATTTTACTCCTTTAATAACTCAAACTCATAATCTTAAGATTGAAGGTGAGGAATATTTATCATTCAAATAACTCTCTCGTTTACTTTTATATGGGTAAAGCTTAAGCTTGACACTTACTAGTTTGTTCCACGCCTAGTATTAAAGGCTCAATATTTATTGCTCCACATATACCAGTTTATATACACTTATGTTTAGCACATTTAGGGGTCGTTTGATAAAGTGTATTAGAAAATATAATGCATGTATTATATGTGTGTATTAGTAGTACCTTATTTGGTACATTTTTTCATGCCATGAATTACTAATGCAAGCATTAGTTATACACTCTATTGTGTATTACTAATACCAATGAATTCTAGATATTAGTAAATACATAACATTTTAACACTTGCGTTAGATTAAATAATTACAAAATTACCCTTAAAGCCTTTTTCATTTTCTTTGTTGTTATAAGTTTTTGTTTTTATTTTGGTTTGCTTTTCGGTGTCTTTTAATTTTTTGGTGTCTTAATAAGCTTTATATCCTCTTAAGTATCTTTTTTTTTTAAAAACAAAAATCTAATTTCAATATAATTTAATCCAAATTTTTAATATTGTGACAGTAAATTTGATAAAAAAAAATTATTTGCTAACTTTTCACAAAAATATTTTGACGCAATAGTACAACTATTTAATATTATTTATGAAAAAAGAAGAAGAAGAATTAATGATATTTTAGCAAATAAATCTTTTTTGATGTTTTAGCAAAGAACTTTGTTGCAAAGGAAGTGTACAAATAAATAATGTGTGAAGGGTATTTTTGTAAACATATATTTTTTAATAGAAATTATGCAAGATTTGTTATTTCTAATACATCAAACCAAACAATGTATAAGAAATAATGCATGCATTACTAATACACCCTATTTTGCATTGTTCTTGTACACTCTAGAAAAAAATGCCAGTCAGGCTAACTTCTCAAAAGCTTAGTTTACATCCACGTCTCGGTCTATCCAACTCACTTTTAAATTTGGAATTAATTAATTTTACACTTTTTATTTTAAGCTTAGAAGTTTTTAAAACATAAATTTTATGACAAATTTAAGATCACAAGTTTCAAATCACACAAATAAAACATGCCTTTTTACTTTAAGAAAACAGATTTTAAAAATCTCTGTTTTTTTTTCTTAAACTCGCTATCATTCAAGGTAGTGGAATAACATGCCCCTTTACTGTTGTCGGTAAATTTTTATTTATTTATTTATAATTTATGGGAATCTAGATACACTTTTTTATATGGTCTAACCTTTTCACGCACTGCAAACAAAACTGATTCACTTACAAAGATAAAATTAAAACATGAAGATTTCTAAAGAAAGGAATTACCTCTTATTGGGGCCATCCAAGATAGTAGATACAAAGAAATGCTAAATCCATAGGTGTGGTGTTGCAGCTGATGAATTAGCTAAGCAACTTAACCATATGGATTTTGTATCAAATATGTCAAATTCCTTCCACCAATAAATATGGTAGGGTGGTTCATTTTCGTTAACTTTATTTTCCCCAGAAATATAGGACAAAGACATTAGCTATAAACTAAAGGACCATAATAATATGCTCACCATAACTTCCTGGAAAGAGCTTTCAATTACCTTGCTTTTCTGCGCGTTGATTTCTCATTCGTTTGCCTCGACTTTCACCATTACTAACAACTGTCCGTATACAATATGGCCTGGAACATTGTCTGGTTCCTCATCACCTCAACTTTCCACGACGGGCTTTCAATTGAATGCTGGCCAAAGCGTCAGGATTCCAAGTGTCACAGGATGGTCAGGTCGCATTTGGGCAAGGACTGGCTGCATTTTTGATGAGTCTGGTGTTGGCTCTTGTCAAACAGGGGACTGTGGTGGTAAGCTTGAATGTGATGGCCTTGGTGCAACACCACCTGCCTCTCTCTTCGAGATAACTCTAGGGACGGGAGATACCAAAGATTTCTACGATGTCAGCATTGTTGATGGTTATAATCTACCAATGGTTGCAACCCCACAGGGAGTTCCTGGTGGATGCAATGCCACTGGATGTGTTTCCAATCTTAACATGGGTAAGCTTCATATGTAGTTGTTTCCTCCCACCAAGCAAAAGTGCCGGTAACTATGCCCACTACAGCTGAGGCAGACGAGAATAAGTCACCTAGCTTTTTTGCCTCTAACTAGAATTTGAACCTTATCTTCCATACCCTTGGACTCAAATAAGTTTTGAAGCATTTAGCAGAAAAGACTAACAATTTTTTTTTCCAAATATCTAACAGGTTGTCCCAAAGAACTTCAAGTGGTGGGTGGAGATGGAGGAGGAAATGTAGTAGCATGCAAGAGTGCATGTGAGGCCTTTGGGTTAGATCAGTATTGTTGTGCCGGAGCGTTTGCCAATCCAACAACTTGTCGTCCATCATTCTATTCAAGCATCTTCAAAAGAGCTTGTCCAAGGGCTTATAGCTATGCATATGATGATGGCACCAGCACTTTTACCTGCAAGGCTTCCGACTACGCCATCATCTTCTGTCCCATGAAAGGGTAATGTGTATAAAAAAATCTCACTATTCAGACACTAGATTTTATGTTTTCTGTTTTCCCCTAATCTACCAATATTGGATTGTGAAACAGGGTGAAGAGGCCCAACGGGGGAGAAATAACTC